TCCTAACCACCTGGCCATGCGGGGCCTAAAACCCGTTAAGGACAGAAATCATGCGTTTTAATATTTCGATCCAAAACTTAAAACGCTATAACTCGAGGTTTGATTCTCCATTGTGGTGCAGAGTTGCGATAGCCCATTGTGTAGCTTTGTCCTTCGGTGGGATAGCGGTAAATTTACTGATTTACAACGCTAAAATCCGTGGTTGATTATAGGAGCAATTTTCACTCGGATGTTAACGAAACGTTTTCTTGTTCAAATCATCTTTAAAAACAAGAACGTGATAACATTTGTTAAATGTTTCAGTTTATTTACTCGCTCCGTACTTGTTACAATAGCTACATATTTGAAATATTGGGTATCTATTTCGTTTAGTCTTAAAGTCTCGTTTCTTATTTTAAATATTTCCTTCCTGTTTCGTTTTATACTCTCGACACCAGTTTTTCTTCATCCGGGTTCCTTTTAATATTTACTCGTTTCTTTCACTTACTCTACTTTTTCCCCAAACTATATTTCCAGCTTCTTTAGTGACTCAATTCTGAATATTTTAATCTGCTTTTAACTTCATGGTTTCTCTCCGTCTTTACATCCTCATAAATGTTCCTTCCGCCTCACAATATTTCATAATCTGTCTATTATTGTGGCTCAAATTTTCTCTTCTTCGTATTCTTCTATTTCTATCTGTATTTATCTTTCTATTCTCATTAAAGCCTTTATCTCTGTTATATTTAAATGTTATTCTCTTTTCATACTTTCAATATTTGTATATCTTTCTCTTTTAATTAACGTTCTTCTCTCTTTCTTTTGTTTAAATTCTGTTTTCCATTTTTGATTAACTTCTATCTTTCTTTCTAAAGTTTAAATTTTCCCATTTTTTTTTAAATATTAGCGTCTGTATGCCTTTCTCTCTGTTAATTTATCGTTGTTTATTATTAACGCTGTTCTTACAGTATTTCCTTCCTTCACTTCCACCTTCTCTAATAACCGCGATCTCTTGAGGAAAGACCGAATGCCAGTTACACTTAGAAAACAACGACCTTCAAGGAACTTTATCTGTCCTCACACACGCACAGAAGTAGCAGTCTTCTTAAGTTTCCACCTAAACAGCTAATACGTCAGTCATACACACACGCGCAGTGTTAATGAAGCGTGAGGTTTCTATTGAGTATTGAATTCACGTGAAGATAAGTGTTCCTGTTGATTAATGTTGCGACCCTGACCTGTATTGGTAATTAAGTTGAGATTTTTCATTGTAGCACCACTTCCTCTTCAAGTGTTATGTTTGTTGTCTAACTAATGCACGTTCAGTTGTGATGGGTGACGTCGCGTGTTTTCATTGGACCGTTTTCTGACAGTGAAACAATAATTTCATTATAAGTTCCTTATCATCAGTAACTAAGTTTGATAATTCACATTTTTAAAACTACTTGCTTCCTGCTGTACGATTTACTATCAGATCAGGAAACTCATGTGAACCTGGAAAATGCATGAAAGAGATCATATCTAAGTTCTTATGTGTGCGCGACTGAAAATACGAGGTGGTTATAAGAAAATTGACACATTTAAAATGATTTTGTCATTTACTTCTTCACTAGTCACTAAATGTCACTAGGGAAACACTGAGAGTTAATAACTCTTACTCTGGAAAATATGGACCAGGTAAAGGGTGTTTTAAGACCTTATTATACTGCATACATAGCTCACAAACTGTCACTGCTTTGGTTTCTCTTTCAACAACAAGAGGCAGGTTTATTCCCTCTTTCAAAAATACGAGACTGGTTCTCTTTCTCTTTCAACAATAAGAGGTTGGTTCTCTCTCTCTTTCAACAATAAGAGGCTGGTTCTCTGTCTTACAACTATATGAGACTAGTTCTCTCTCTTTCAACAACAAGAGGCTGGTTCTCTCTCTTTCAACAACAAGAAGCAGGTTCTTTCCCTCTTTCAAAAATACGAGACTGGTTCTTTCTCTTTCAACAATAAGAGGTTGGTTCTCTTTCTCTTTCAACAATAAGAGGCTGGTTCTCTCTCTCTTTCAACAATAAGAGACTGGTTCTCTCTCTTTCAACAACAAGAGGCTGGTTCTCTCTCTTTCAACAATAAGAGGTTGGTTCTCTCTCTCTTTCAACAATAAGAGACTGGTTCTCTCTCTATTTGAACAGTATGAAATTGGTTCTCATTCTTTCAACAATACGAAACTGGATCTTTCTCCTTTTCAACAATACGAGATTGGTTCGCTCCCTTTAAACAATACAAGACTGGTTCTCTCCCTCTCAACAATACGAAATTGGTTCTCATTCTATCAACTATATAAGACTGTTTTTTTTTCCTTTTTACAATACAAGACTGGTTCCATCTCTTTCAACAATACGAGATTTGTGATTTGAATGAAATCTGTGTTAGTGTATAGGATCCTGAGCGGATCAACGAACACTGTCCAGCACAGATGATGCTGGCAGTAACTTCATCAAGTAATGAGGTTGATATGCCGATTGAGAATGGCAGAAAGCCTATTGGATATCTTTTGTGACCGTTTTTGAACAATCTGTACAATGTCCCAACATTTGAAACAAAACGTATATGATTATCAATGTGTCATTGGCCAACTAATTTTTAATACATAATAATTTCAAACATAGAGGTTTCATTACAATCACTCTATACATAGACACTCATTAATAGAAGTTTCGTTATTTGTTTATCTGGAAAAAGACTAATATTTAGGGTTAGTTTCTTTGGGATTATTGTTGATATTATTTATGATAGCTTTGAATGCTTTTAACTAATTCTAACACTTACTAAAATGTCTCTACTTGTTAATTCCATTAATTTTAATGGTTACATTTCTTCATAAGGTGTTTAATATAACTTTCATTATTTATTAATTTGTTTATATATCAGAAAATTATTTTATTGATTTAAGACTAACCTAAGTCACTTAAGCTAGTTACCCACAGTGACAGCTTGTTGGGATTACAGCAGAAAATATTGTTAATACCCAACTTTAATTATCATCTTTCTCGTCGATTGATTAATACATGTTCATATTTTCCATCAAAAGCTATATATAATTTGTACTTGCCTCTTTTTTAATTTCATTTTCTTCAGAGATCGATACCCTAAACGTTTACCAAGAGACCAATGAAATAAACATACAGTTGGAGATTCAACTCTGTTAATAATGTTACAGTAGTCCTAAAACATCGTGAAGTGAAGGACTGAATGTGGCATAAACCGTTTAAAGTAGAGGGATATGGTCAGGTTACAGTAGTCCTAAACCATCGTGAAGTGAAGGACTGAATGTGGTATAAACCGTCTAAAGTAGAGGGATATGGTCAGGTTACAGTAGTCCTAAAACATCGTGAAGTGAAGGACTGAATGTGGTATAAACCGTCTAAAGTAGAGGGATATGGTCAGGTTACAGTAGTCCTAAATCATCGTGAAGTGAAGGACTGAATGTGGTACAAGTAAAAAAAAATTCAAAAAAGGAAGTAAATGTAGGAATGGCTAATATCAATCCTTCAAAAACAATGTAAACAAGATAGTAGGGATGACATTTACATCATCCTTACATGATGCCATCCCTATTATGTTGTTTCCATTGTTTTTGAAGGATTGATGTGAAATTGTTTGACATCACTGTTTTTGGTTTTTGAGTTATTATATAATAAAAAAGAAGCAGAAGAAAGGTGAATAAAGGATTGAAAATTTTTGCTGTGATATTTACAGACATTCCTAGAACTTGTAATTCAGCTAATCAAAACTATTCAAGACAATACCACCAGCCAATAAAAACAACTACAAGATAGTACCACCAGCCAATCAAAACTATTCAAGACAGTACCACCAGCCAATAAAAACAACTACAAGATAGTACCACCAGCCAATCAAAACTATTCAAGACAGTACCATTAGCCAATCAAAACTACTTCAAGACAGTACCATCAGCCAGTAAAAACAACTATAAGATAGTACCATTAGCCAACCAAAAACAACTACTAGACAGTACCATCAGCCAGTCAAAACAACTACAAGATAGTACTATCAGCCAATCAAAACAACTATAAGATAATGGCTGGAGACGGCTTAAATGGGTAATGAAGAAAAACCTGATGATGACAAAACCTTGTCGAAACGTTGTACATTTGCTGTCATGTTAAACTTATATTAAAGTTTTTCTTCATTACCAATTTAAGCCGTCTCCAGCCATTATTAGTCTCAAAGTGGGTTCCTCGTCATCGAACTATAAGATAGAACTATCAGCCAATCAAAACAACTACAAAATAGTACTATCAGCCAATCAAAACAACTACAAAATAGTACTATCAGCCAATCAAAACTACTTCAAGATAGTATCTTCATTCCGTCCACATTACCAAGAGGAAACGAACTACCAACGTTTCTGTAGAAGTTGCGTATACATTTTTATACGTTTCGGTATGTTAAAATGTTCACAGCGTTTGCTGTCTTTATTTCCTCAGTTCTAATGTCGGATATTGTGCTATTAAAAAAAGAATAATACGAAATTTGTATACAAAATAATTTTGTTTTATATTTATACATTTTGATCTTCAAATTGATCAAAATTTAATATTAGATCGTTTCTAATCAAAATGTTATGTTTTTTTGTTTTTTTAAGTACTACAACTGGTTTTGTACGACGTCGAGCTTACCTGTTCCAGAGGCAAGGATCAGAAAGGCTATCCGCAAGTGAAATGATAAATCCATTGGTCTGTGAAACCTCTTTTCAATTAGGATTACTTTGCTATGCGATATTTTTCACGTGATTGTCACAAAATTTACAAACGCCGAACTTTGCCGACCGTCCTACATAGAACGCATTAACTTGGGCGCGTGACACGAGACTTTTAAGCATTGCTTGTAGGTTTCAGTTATGACGCTCAATTTTACAGCAGAGCCTCAACGCGACTACTAGCGCCCCCAGTGGTACGTTTGTGTAGTTACTGGAAACATAGTTTAGACGTTCTGAAATGAAAAACTGTACTATATAAAACTCAGAAAAAAGTAGAAACAAACATAAAACAACTAAAAAAAAGAGTTTTAACCAATTATAGACAGACAAATAAGTTTAACTGACTTTTCTATCAAACACATAGATATGTCACACGAATAAACAAGGTTTACAGAGGCAATACTCACCAAAAAAAAAAAAACCCTCTTGGGCCACTACAAAGAACAGAAAAAACATCAAAAATAAAAGGATGATACTAGAATTGATGGCGTCCTCTTAGGGTTAAATCAAAATTTATTTTATTTTATTCGTGTGTGTGTGTGTTCTTCCTGCACTGTAGTAGCACGTTGAAACAGACAGTTAAAATCACGTGTCCTTACGAAATGGACCTAGTAGTTAGCGTGCCCGGATTGTGATTTCGAGAATTCGTGATTCGAGACCCATTGTCACAAAAATGAGCTTCGCCATGGGTCAAATAAAAGTAGCCCAAGAGGTGGTACTTGGTTCTGTTCACTATCTACCTTTCCTTTAGTCTATCGTTTCACAGTCTGGGACGGCCGTGAGTAGATAGCTCTTGCGTAGACTTGCGTAAAAGTTTTTAAACAAACATATCACGTGCTCGTGAAAACTGATGCACTTTACACATTTCAAGGATAGATTTCAATGAGAAACTTAAAAAAAAAACCCACGGTTTCATATGTGTTTAAATTATTAACATGTTACCAATATTTAAGCTTAGGATATAAATTCGTACAGTGAGCTAATAATGCAAAATTAGGCTTAGTTATCCGTCTTTTTATTCGCCTTATCGGAAGATAATTAATACCACTGTACTGATTAGTTTTGTTTGTAAGTTGACCTAGCGTCTTTTCAAGCTGTTCACTGGTCAGCTAACAAGCATTATCGACTGATAATTCGACGGAAAAGAAAAGAGGCTTATCTTTGGATGTGAATGTAACGAATTCTATTTCTGGGAAACACTCGCTTTGTAGTGTACAATTGGACTCGTTTTCAAGCCACAAGTCATCCCATTCTTTAACATATACAATTGTAATTGTTCTAGTTTCTCTTTAAAATCAGTCGAAGTCCTAAAACCATAAACTGTTGGACACAGGTCCTGGAATAACCCTAAGGTGAAACCCCCTCTTCCCTTCTTATGTCCCCAAAGAACAATCATTACATATCCTCCCCCATTCTTATAGAATATATTCTGTCTCTTTGTAAAATTTGGTAATATCTCTTCAGTAGTTTCGCAGTATATAATTAGTCCCCCAGTGGTAAGTTTATGGATTTATAGCGATAAATTTAGGGTTCGATAACCCGAGGCGAACAGTGTGCATATAGACTATTGCCTAGTTTGGCACTAAAAAATAAAACAATAACAAATATATTATTAAAGACTCACTAAAACTTAATCGAGACTTTATAAAGCCGCTAGGTGTCGCAACTGTAGTATAACGGATTATTAACTTGAGTGTCTAGATATTTCTGTTTCATGGAACGAGATACTAATCAAAAATATGAATGGCTCTCTCCAAAATGTCTGTCGATGTTTTACGAATAAAAAAAATGGATTTATTCATTAATTAAATGAATAATTTTACTCAATTGTCTTTTAATTAGCGTCCAAATACACCATACACCCAAAGCCTCATTTTGCTAAAACAACAAAAAAAAAAAATCCGAATTGTTAAAGAATTCTAAATGAACTTTCGAATAGAAAAGTTTTTTTTTATTTTTTGTCTAAGAACTAAATTGGTGTAGTATTGAACTTTCTTAGAAGGACAAGCAGGTGGTTCCCAATTGTCTGTCCCTCGAAGTTTGACGTTTTCTGGTTTGCTATACAGTAGTTATCAAGAAAGGCTCGCGGCGTTTATTTTACAACTTTTCAAACAACAAAGAAAGCTTTGTTGACAGAAATGTCATCCAATAGTCGTCAAAGACGAGTAAATTACCCAGACATTAATATTTAGAGACCAACTATTGTGAGCAGATATTCCCAGAATGCATTTCGTGACTCTTGTCTGTATTCATACGCAACAAGAAAAAAAAAAGTCCTTAATGATTTTGTCGATTTTCCTCTGATGAAAATGAGACCGTGACTCGTGCATTATATATATACATGGAATATTAGGTATTACAGCTGATATTTACGTAATCACAAAATATGTCTGTAAAAGAGTCGAAGGAGGAGCCGTGAAAGCGATTTTCCTGGTCAATATGGAAACCTTATCCTAAAGTCTTCAGAAGAACAGTTTGTGATTGGATGACTCAATCTGTTATAAAATTCATCATGCGGTTTTTTCAAGTCCCACCAGAGTTCTATAATCAGCAAGACTACTAACGGGAGTTTGTACGACTTCTCGAATTCCCTGTAGTTAGGCTGCCCCGCTCGACTTGGATGTGAATCATAAACAGTTGGCGGGAAATGACTGCACTGCAGATGAGCGAAAGATAAATCTTGAAACGAGGAAAGGGATTGTCACCCATACTGCTATTACAAGGAGGAACTACGGTATCCAAACGGGATGGTGTTGCTTAGCAACCACCGTGAGAGGGGAAGAGAAACCTCTTTTGATGCCCCGTTAACTTTTAACCTGTTAGTCTCCATGTTCATGTGTAGCTGAATGAAGCTGCCTTTGAAGCTCTGATTCAAGATGTAGCTGAATGAAGCTGCGTTTGAAGCTCTGAATCAAGATGTAGCTGAATGAAGCTGCGTTTGAAGCTCTGTTTCAAGCTGTAGCTGTATGAAGCTGCGTTTGAAGCTCTATATCAAGATGTAGCTGTATGAAGCTGCGTTTGAAGCCCTGAAACAAGATGTAGCTGAATGAAGCTGCCTTTGAAGCTCTGAATCAAGATGGAGCTAAATGAAGCTGCGTTTGAAGCTCTATATCAAGATGTAGCTGTATGAAGCTGCGTTTGAAGCTCTATATCAAGATGTAGCTGTATGAAGCTGCGTTTGAAGCTCTGTATCAAGATGTAGCTGTATGAAGCTGCGTTTGAAGCTCTGAATCAAGATGTAGCTGAATGAAGCTGCGTTTGAAGCTCTATATCATGATGTAGCTGAATGAAGCTGCGTTTGAAGCTTTGTCTCAAGATGTAGCTGAATGAAGCTGCGTTTGAAGCTCTGTATCAAGGTGTAGCTTAGTGAAGCTGCATTTGAAGCCATGAATCCAAAATCCTAGAGCCTGTCTGTATTGTGTAAGCAGAAAACACTGGGTAACTTTGAATATTCAGCTCGTAAGATAAATACTGTTTGACGTTAAGATCCTGTTACACGAGACAAGTGTTTCTCTTTGTTTTGAAATCAGCAATACCTGCAATTAATAAAGTACACGATATTACCTTATTTATTATCGTTGAATAAAACTAGAACAATATTTATTATTTTATTCTTCGAAACTAAATGGATGTAGGGAAGAACGCGCGAATGCATGATATGCTGTTTTGACAAATTCGTGTAGCCTCCATGGAAAGTGTTGCTTTCCTCTGGATGCTTTCCACAAAGCTTGAAAGTTTTATAGTTGATTGTTTTTGATCACATCTTCGAGGGGGGAGGGATAAAATGTTTCACGGCTCTTTACTCCGCCACAGATTGCTCATTGTGAAACCTTGCGCTTAGACGTAAAAAGACCCCGACTTTTCTATGGTGTAGATGTACTTGCCAGATGAAAACAGATTTGTTGAAGTACCTGAACTTTATCTCCAATTTATTTTCTTATCTTTACCGTCGAGAAGAGTTTAAAACTTTTCATTTTATACAATTCCCTGGGTTAAATTTATTCAGATTCTTTTTCTGATTGATAGAAGCTAAAAGAGAGAATTTCTGGAACACTTAGAGATATAAATTATTGTTTATATTTTGTTTTCGTGGTTTATTTATCAGTGGTGTTTGTTTGTTATCAGGCAAATAGTTGGTTTATACAACAATGGAGGCTTTAATTAGTACCAGAGAAACTAATAGGTTACACAATATTAGAAACTTGTGTTTGTTATCAGGAAGATTATTGGTTTATACAACAATGGAGGCTTTAATTATTACCAGAGAAACTAGTAAGTTACACAATATTAGAAACTTGTGTTTGTTATCAGGAAGATTATTGGTTTATACAACAATGGAGGCTTTAATTATTACCAGAGAAACTAATAGGTTACACAATATTAGAAACTTGTGTTTGTTATCAGGAAGATTATTGGTTTATACAACAATTGAGGCTTTAATTATTACCAGAGAAACTAGTAAGTTACACAATATTAGAAACTTGTGTTTGTTATCAGGAAAATTGTTGGTTTATACAACAATGGAGGCTTTAATTATTACCAGAGAAACTAGTAGGTTACACAATAGTAGAAACTTGTGTTTGTTATCAGGAAGATTATTGGTTTATACAACAATGGAGGCTTTAATTATTACCAGAGAAACTAGTAGGTTACACAATATTAGAAACTTGTGTTTGTTATCAGGGAAATTGTTGGTTTATACAACAGTAGGGATCGTATCTGTTATTAGGGAAAATAGAGTATATATATATATATATATGAATATATTTCCCCTGTGGGCAAAGAACACTGTAGTTCCTGTGATCACAAAATAATCCCACACATATAACCAAAACACATACGAGTTTAAACATGTTGATACAAATAATAAAACACAACAATGCTTCAGATCTTCTATTTATTTTATGTATACATTTATTCATAACGACGCAAAACAATATTTATATGTTTAGTTTTTTGGCGCCATCTGATGGCATATAGAGTAATATTTTTTGTGATTTCTACTTAGTTAAACTGATCGTTAATCAGAACATCATAATGAGTAGCGTGTTGTTTTTGTAAGATGCCTTTATATTTATTTCAAATACATCTGACGTCACTCGAAAGTCTACA